TTGAAGCCAAGCAGTATTCACACTTTTGCAACTTTTATCCTTTTGTGTTAGACCTTGAAGTTTGTCAGATTTTGCTGAGGCCTTCATATTAGCAAACATCTGGATCATGTCATAGTTTGGTCTTAGTTTTGCCTAACAGTTTCTTTGTGGATTTGCCTCCCACAACACATATGGTTCATTTCTTATGTTTATCCTTAGTTTGGCAGGGTTTTGTGGTGTCATGTCTCTTTTCATCTCTATTTTTTAAAAGGAGTGGTTTTACATAAATTATTATCTTTCTAGGTGTGAATTATGGAAGTGCTCTTTTTCATGTATTCTTTAGAGACTATGAATTAATGCCTGTTCTTACATTTTGTCCTTATAAATTACATCTTATTACAAGAAATATAATTCCTTCTATTCAGGTTCCTCCATAATCAACAGAAGAGATTTGCTATGAACACTTTCATAACACAAAATGGTGTAAAGCACAGCAGCAAAGAGATTAATTTACATTGAAAAAAGTTAAGCAATCCAAGACCCCCCCAAATAACCTACCAAATCATATCAAATACTACATAAACTTAAAATAACTATGATATAGAAAAAATGGGATAATGTAAAAAATACACTCCTAAATAAAGTGGTTCCCACAGAAGAAACTTGGTGGTGTAATATTTGCAGCTTGGGGTGCACTGCCTCTGACAGCTGCTGCAAAACAAAAGCTGATGCTGTTTTTGCTTTTCACTTTTTAGTCCTAGAAGTGAAATTCTTCTTTAGATTTTATTTACTTAGTGAAAAAGTTAATAAACGTAGATCTTTTTTAAAAATGATGTAAAGCTAAGCAAACACAAGATGTAGGGATATTTGTACTACAGATTTCTTCAACTTTGATTCCTTTTGAAATTTCTTCATCAGCAACTGTAATTGCTTAAATTATAACCCAAGAGTTTTCATAAATAAAAGTACGCACACATTTATTTGAGATGATATAAAAAGTTATTTTGTTTTCTGAAAGATAATTTATGGAATAACATGTAGGGAAATATCTCCTTTCCAAACTTGAAAATCCTAAATTTGGAAACTATATATGTACAGTGATTTCTTTTCTTTTTTTTTTAAGATTTATTTATTTATTTATACAAGCACTGGGTACAGTCAGAAGCGCAGGAGGGTGAGAGAATTCACCAGAGCCAGAGGAGGGAGCAGAACAGGCAGATGGACCGAAAACACTGCTGAGGGGAGCAGCAGGCGTAGCAGGAGAGGTCTGCGCACCATGTACAGTGATTTCTTAATACAGAAACTATAGAAAACATCCTTTGGGGTGCTGATGGCAGACAGAAGCACTAAAGGTTAGAAATTAAAGTTGACTTAACTGTAAATTAAGATAAATAGTATCTTACTTTAATGGGGTTTTTCAAAATGATAAAAGTTAAACACATAACTTCTTAATCTTTCATTGGGAGTCCCTTAGAATTCCTTTGAGAATTTTTATAGGAAAAGACAAGTATAAAAGTACTCAAAGAAGTAGTATGACTAAGGGGAATTATTGTTATTTTTACAATGATTACTCGAGATGGGAATAGGAAGGAATTATACGTACCATAGACCAAGACATGAAGTGGAGGGATTAATATCTAGAGAGAGTGGCAGTAGATATAATCAAGAGCATGTTCTGAAACAAGGAGGAACATCTTTTTCTCATTATTCTCACTACAAAGAGGGAAAATGTGAATATATATCAGTGTAAGCAGTAAGTGTTATATATTCATGCTAATTATTCCCCCAATGCTCTGGATAAGTACTCTATTATATCTCTTACACAGATGAAAGAACTGAGGTATTATATATCTGTTGTTGGCAGGACTGAGAGCTAGTGACCTAAAAACTGTTGTCTAACATTTATCTTCCAAGTAAAGGGATACAGCTGCCATTCAAACCACATTTGTAGCTTCCAAAATCGCTTTATTGTCTATCCTGCCTTATAAAACAGAAATTTCCTTCTCCCTAAATTAATCACCTCTTTCATCCTATTAAAATTTTGATATACTTTTTCTTTCTTTCTATACAGCATAGCCCCTTAAGTAATATTTATATTAATAACTTTGAGTTATAACTTTATTTTGATCCCTTTTGGCTGTGTCAGTTGGGTAATGAACCACTCTTCACCTGAGTTTCTTTATTGATTAAATGGAACAGTAATAAGATTTGTAGAGATGCTACATTAATTTATAAAAGCAATACACACACAAATAAAGCCCTTAATAAAGATTATGTTGTAAATATTTAATATTACTATATTGTCACTACTATTACAACTAAAATGACTACTATTATAAACATAATTATACTGTGATTATGGTACTTGACTTTTTTGTTGTTTTTCTCTCCTTAATACATTGTGAATTTCTCAGGATTAGAGTCTACTTCTTACTCATTCATGAAACCTAAGTGCATCATGTTGGGCCTGGTACTTAGGACACACTCAACACATACATGCATACATGGCCCAAGACCTAGATGGCCACATTCTTGAAACTCTTCTATTTTCCTCTCTTTTACCAGAGGCAATATAAATTATCATTCAATTTTTATTGTAAGATGCCATTAAGCCTTTCCCTGATCATCTCTGGATTACTAAAGGTGCAGTGGTTAATAGCTCAATAAACTGTGGAATCAAGGTGTTTGATGGGTCATTTGTGAGGATATTGGATTTTGCAAGATGGATTGCAACCTGGAAACAAAGATATGAAGAAAGTGGAAGAGAATTGTGGAAATTAGTGAGTAATTTAAAAAAGATTAATAACAGAATAATGAGAAGATGGCAAAACCCTCAAAATACAGGAGCTTCTTTTTTAAGTTATGATTTCAGCAGAGTTTTAATGTGGTGATATGGGGCAGTAATAATGATTTTCCTCACCGAAGACTATCCTTGAAGAGAACATACATTTATAATAATAATGAGCTTTTTAAAGAACATTTATATGTTGACCCAGCTTTTAAAACATACTTTAATCAAGTGTCACACAGCTGAATAATACCATGTGGTGTAGGGGAAGTGATAGATTAGGCAACTGGAGATGAAGAAGACATTCAATGCAATTGACAATCATAATTGATGTTTAATACTGAATTTGATTTTGAAATAATTTTCAAAATGGTTTCAGGTACCTCAGAGAAAACTAAGAACAAACCTGACGTTCTGGGATACCATTTTTAATTGAACATTAACCAGATCTTGATATATATCTTCCAAAGCATGTTGTGACTCCTACGGTTTATTTCCACTGGAATAGTCAACAGACCAATAACTGTTTTCCTAATGGGTGAGATTGGGGAAACTTTACAACCAAATGGCAGACTAAAGAATGGAAGGTTTCAACAAAATTTTACCCACACAATTGAGAATTTATGAACTTTTCCATTATACTTCTTTCATGTAATGTTTTTAAATTAGATCATCCATATATAGACTAAGTAAAAACATTATTTCAAAAGCCATATAAATTTGAATTGAATATATATATTCGGATGGCTATAATATTAGTGCTAAGAATGCGGATCTACTTAGGATTTCCTCTAGCATTTATTGACATGAAGTATTAACATTTGTTATGACGTAGGACATAGAAATTCAACAAAGAACAACAGCTGTTCTACATATATTTTAATTAAAATACTAACAATTTTTGAAGTTTTTGGAGTTGTCTTCCATTTGCTAAACTATAGTATACAGATACTGTTTCTCTCAAAACTAATCATTTCAGATTGTGGTGAAAGAATTAAAGTGTTTTCTCATAAATTGTTTTCACTTATAAAGGAATTTACAAATACATATTAAGATTTTTTTTTTATTTTGGTCATATAAAAATACGTGAAAAAAACTCACTTTGCATCAGTTACTTTTTTTTGCCTCATATAATTGTTTAAGAAACATAAACGAAGAAACTAATAATTTTTTCTTTGATGTTTCTGTTAGAGAAAGTGAAATATAGACATAGATCCAAGTGTTTTATAACTGAACACTTCACCAATTTTCATTGGCTCATTCATCTTCTATATTAATTAAAGTCTTATGTTACTAAGTACCCAAGTCAATAATTTGTTTCCATGAAGGTACATTATTTTTAGATTACCTAAACTAAAATAATGTTCATGCAGTAGTAAAATTTATTAAAAATTTAATAGGTAACTCATTTTCATTATATGATTCAATGTAGTAATTAAAAGATTCTTTTGTAATAGGATCAAAGAACAAGATTGTGATCTGGGGTGTAAAATTTGCTAAAGTTTCATCTCAGACAAGTCAACTTATTACTTTTCTTCAAAGTTGGGATAATAAAATTGTTTTACTTCATATAGTATATAGCAAATGAGATCATAAAGTTACTTGAACATTACAGAGTGACATAAAAAAATGCAGTATTACTATCACCAAACAGTAATTTCAGTACAGGTTTCATTAAAATTTCTACATTTCTGATAATATTGATTTCATTTAATATTATAATGTTATATGAAGAGTTTTGCTTAGGTTTAAAATGCACTACTATCAATTAGGTAATTTTATAAATATGTATCAAAATTTCCTTTAAATAAGTTAAAAATGTTGCTCCTTAATTTTTATAGAGCTATCTGATGAAATGGTTTTAACAATTTTAATAAATATGGTGTAATGGCAAATTGGATATTAGAAATACATCAGAATGGTAACAGCTGCAAATTATATTCCAGTCACTATTGCAGCTAATATCACTTATTGAATATTTAGGATTTTATGATCTACTATAGGATAATTACCTTTGCTTGTTTTTTAAATTAAAGAGGAATTAAGTTAAATAAGTAACCTTAATAATAGAATGTTTCTAAAGTTAACGACTAGACTCTAATTTTGGTAAAAATATAATTATCTTAGGATGATTATTTACCTATACTTTCTATGCATATATTTAATAATTATAAGAATTCAATATATTTTTCAATAGTACACTTTTTCATATGGATACCAGATTTTATTTCTGCTGTATAATTCACAAGGTATTAATTTAGTAGCTTCCTGAACCAAATACAACATAATAATTTTTAACATATTATTAGGTTCAAAAGTAATGCAAAGAAGAAAATGAGCAATGTTTTTGAAACTGCACACATTTGAAAGACAGAAATACCTTTTTAGTAGGTATCTAAATTCAAGTGCAATTTATTGAACGGTACATAGAGACCAATATTAATTGTTGACATTCATCAGCATTGCACAAAATGCATTTAATAGTGGCACTAAAACATTGCATAAAGAAATAAAAAATATTTGAAGACTAATAAAATTGTTTTTGAAATTCAAGGATAAAAACCTCTTAAAAATTGAGGTATTTTTAAAAAAGCCCTATACTTCTAAATCATGTACAACATTGTAAACCAATGTTAGCTCAATTAAAAAAAAATGGTTTTGCTCAGTAGGGCTAAATTGAGATGGAAACTTCAGCACTAACAAAATAACTCAGTGTGAAAAAACCATAAAGTAGAAATTCTGTTTAATTTTAGACACAAAACTTGTCAAAAAATGGTTTGGTCTCTGTGGAATTAGTTATCTACAAAATAATCAAAACATTTAAGATGTGAGCTGCAAAAATGACATGGATTTTTTTAAAATGCACTTACTTGAGGCCTAATGCTTCAGTGAGATTTACAAAGAAAGGGTGAAATTTGAGACTTCAAAATTACCCAAATTGTGATGACTTGAGCATATTTATGAAAACTTTTGCTTAGATAGTGAATAAACAATGTGCCTATAAATATAATGTCTAGATTAAGAGAAATAAAATACATTCTTTTGTTATATGAGAAAAAAAAATGACAGTTTAGCATAATGGTGGTATGAGGTTGACAGATTCAAGATGCAGCTAAGCCTTCTCATTTTTACATTTTCTCTTTTTTGTTTGTTTAACAAACAAAGGCATCTTTGCTTATTCATTATGTGTGCTAACCTCACCTGCATCATTACTTAGCTACAAAGAACTCCACCTAGTTTACCCACTGAAAATCAAACACAGGGTTTAATGTTTGAATACTTCAGTGAATGTTTAAGAATCAATCATGTTGCTAATTAGCAAGGCAATGTTGGAAGCTGTGACCCAGCAGTCTAATACTAAATGAGTGAGCTAATGCTGTAGGTAGGTGAAATATAAGAGAAACTTGATTTGACCTGGGTTAGAGCACAGAAGGGTCAGCCTGATGAAGCTCTCTGCTCCCAGTAATTCATCTGCCGAATCTCACATTCCACCTGGCACATGGTAGGTTGAACTAGAGAGGAGATTTTGATACGAAAATTAGTTTGATAATGGTTGTGTAACTAGTTCTGAGACCACAGCTGATTAAAGAGAAAAAAGATCAAATATATATATAAATAAATAAAGAGAAAAAAGATCAACATGAAGATGTTAAGGTTGCGAGGGATAGCAAAAGGGGTGAAGAGGTGGAAGGAAGAAATGTGTGGCACACCATGTGCCGATGATGAAAATGTGGGGTACAAATAGAGGGCAATACATCAAAAGTCAAGAAAAACCAAATGTACAATTTGGCCTCAGTTGGGGGACATTTTACTTTTCTGAACCCTGTGATCTCTCCATTTGGAACACTTGTTCCCACAATAAAAGCATTTTTCCCACCTCTCCAGCCCCCTGCCTAGATTGCCCTTCTTTTACTTCATCTGTTACTTCATCTGACTTATATTTCAATTCACAGCTTGCATGTCATTTATATCCTGAATCTTTCCATGCTCTCTCTCCTTAAATTAAATCCTCCCTCTTGTGTGATCATATAATACTTTTTTTTGTGAGCTTGCATTTGGCACTTATCACATTTTAACCTGGTTCTTTCCAACAATGATTTATTGAGCTCCTTCTCTGGGCTAGACATCATACTAGGCACTGGGTTGGGGGGGTTGGGGGGGGTAGAAATAAATTAGATACAAAACCTGCCCTCATGGAGCTTACAGTCTAGAAAGGGAGAAGGGGACAAAGAAATTATACTTTGGTGATAAAGTGTGGCAATAAAAAAGTATATACAAGGCACAGTTTTAGCATAGAGAGGTGGTTAGGTTAATCTAGGTATGGAAAGATCAGGAGGGGCTTGCCCAGTAAGATGATGGTAAATAGTGTTCGTTTCTGTTTCCTTTATTTCACTGTGAGTTCCTTGATGTCCAGCATTATGTCTCACTCATGTCAGTAGCCACATCATCTACCCAGTGCCTGCTTACTGTATATAAGAAAGATCTGTAAGTAGAATTTAACAGGTAGAAATCTGATTGTACAGGGTAATGTATGTAGAAGTACAATTTATTTTCAAACTCATTCTTTTGCTTTGTTTGATTCTATTTGTTAACTCTGCCTCTGGGTGTGCCTGCACATTTAAAATGTAAACAAGCCTTTTGCTTTGGTCATGATCATTCTGAAAGTTGCCATACTATGTGAGACACCATTTCTGCTACTTCATTCTCTCTTTCTTTTAGAGGTCGTCTTAATAGATTAATTTAAACAAAGTAAATTAACACAGAGAAAGTAAATTAAGTAAATTAAGACAGAGAAGATGTTGGAAATCAAATAAACAAATAGGATTTTTCAGGCTTATAAAAATAACATTTTCAGAGGGGAGTAGAGAACAGGGGGAGGAGTGGTGAAGGCTGTGGGCACTTTGGGGCTGGGAAAACTATGGTGACCACACCTGAGCAGAGAAATCTATATTGTGAAATCTTATATTGTTTTAAACAAGGATGTAAGGATGTTTATAAAAGTAAATTTAAAATATTTTCTTCTTTATGAAACATATTTTGCAAACATTAGCATTGATTCAAATAATTATTACAAAGCTAAACTAAAAAGCATGTTTGTCTGGCATTAGGCCAATTTATATCTCAATGGTGTTATACAGTAAGATCACATCGAATCCTAGTTGTGAAATGTGTCTTGGAAACCATGAAACTGATAAATTTCCATTAAAGTGAATGCAAGTTGTGTTTAGATAATGAATTAATAAAACCAAAATTTAAAAATATTATACTAATAACTCCATATTAATAAAATGCTTGCTGATGATCTTTAGGATAATCTCAGTAACAATCATCAGGCATCTTTAGATATCATGATGAAATCAAACTGATGATGATAAAACACACTATAGAATTTCACCCCCACATTTCCTTTTTAGGTATGACATAAAAATAGTAGTATTTCACTTAATGGGCATAAAAATTCAAATCACCACCATAAATACAGTACCTAGTTTACAGAAAACTAAAATGAAGAAATATGATTGTGGGTCTTAACATCTTCTATAATTATGTCCCCTGAAATCATATCCTACAAGGAATAGTAAAGACATCTGAATTCAAATATTTTGAAGAAATGTGTATTTAGCAACTGAATACATGCTAAAATGAATAATTTACAGCAGCAATTCCATTACATTTTTTCTCTCCAGTTTTCTAGTTCCCATCTGAAATGCAATGATAGATACAGATATGGAACATTTTTACTATCTGGCAAAAAACATGCTTATCAAATGGGTGCACACTTTCTACCCTGAAATAGCACATATACCACTTCGTCACCTGTGTGGAAAAATCTTGCATTTTAGGATGATGTTGAGCACATTGAAATGGAGTACCCATAAAAAAGTTGCATTTTACACTGTTCTTCCTCTTCTTTTCAAAAGTATTTACATCTCTTTGCCTAATGTGTAGGTAGCAAAAATATTAAACACATACCATTGAAAATCACTAAATAATACATAAAAGTAGCATTAAGTGTGCATTTACATGCATTTATGTCTTACATTTGATTTCAAGTAGGCCATAATTTCTCTGTTGTGATGTACCTTTTTCCTACTTTAAGATGACCACCATAATTTGCTTAACATCACACCCAGTCTCTTAACAAAGTTTCAACTTTGATGATACATGCATATGCCAAAGTCTATTATAATTAAATTAAATGGGATGTTATTTTTTGTGTAAACTGCCCCCTCTCAATACACAGTGGCAGGAGATTATATGTGAATAGAAATTATCTATCCAAAAGTTGTACCTATAATTTTCTTTGAAAATGTAGATGTGATGATTTATGAAGACATGCCAGTGGATTTGTTTGTGTTTATTTATTTTAATTAAAGTCTAGACTTTCTATTGTTAGTTCATATTGCTAAACAAAATGCATACATATATTGGAAGGTATACTTGTAGTTATAATATCTATCCTTTTAAATCCTTTATTTTTGAGGACTGATAAGAAATAGCATACTTCTGTTATTGCAAGTAAGTTTGTTTCAGCGGCAAACTGAGAATGAAATGCAGCAATGAATTTTAGTAGAGTTAATATATTCTATGAAAATAAAAAATGGACTTATTTTTGGAGCACACTGTTCTTGAATTTATATTTTAGACATTTTTTTCCTCCACAGGAGTGTGTCCTTAAAATAATCTAACATCTCAGCTTCTAAATGAGAATGTGCTTTCAAAAGTAACACCATACTAATCAATGGCGCCTAAAATTGAGTGTAGAATATTTTTAGGTTTTCATTTGAAATGAGTGTCAACAAATTGTATATTCAAAGTAATCATTAAAACTGAAACATGGGTTTCCATCTGTGAAATAATTCAACTGATAGAGAGTTATTTTAAAACTTCACTCTACTCTGAGGTGAGAAATTAATACCGAGTTAATTAGAATTCCAAGACAGCTAGAGTTAGAATTTCAATGTTGCTTCATTAATTACCAGTAAAACGTCTCTTTGCATTTTTTTGTGCATGATGAAGGACCTAGGAAGGGGTTCTTGGAAAGGTGATTTCAGCGCGAAAGAAACTGGTGAAGATCTTATACATCTTGGAGTCAATGATTCTCAAAGAATCATCTTAGGACAGAGAAGGAGGCAAGTCTTAAGTGAATATTTTATAATATTTGAAAAATTGTGCAGAAGACAAAATTTTGCAAGTGTTAAATGTGGGTTATGTCCTGGAAAACAGTTGTATAAAAATCACTCCTATTGACATAAAAGGAACCATATGTTCTTTAATAAGAGAGATAACTGTCTTAAACAAGGTAAGTGGCAGCTAATACATATGTAAACAGAGTTGGCAAATTTGCTTTTAAGTTGTTAGAATTATTACTGTTCTTTCTCTTTTCAAAAAAAGGTGAAACAAGTATTTCTAATGGAATCATGAAGAGTTTTATGCCTTAAATATGCAGGGATTAAAGAAGGACAGAATAAAGAGACATTTTCTATCGACACTATTAAAACAATGCTTATTGTATTCATGGAATATGCAGTTCTTTTTCACTTCAATGACCCATTAGGTACAATAAAATACATTTAACAAATTGATTTGTTTCTTCCCTTTTTATTCTGGTTAAATGCTCTGTTTTTCTAAAAACATTATGCAGATTAAAATTAATTTATATAATACTTAAAGGGAATTGCTACTTGTTTGAATTCCTCAGAGAAATGAAGCTTAATTTATATCCAGGTTTAAGGAATTAACTGTTAATAATGTATGTGTGTTTCTAGGACAATATTGGCTACCCTTCCTGCAGAACTGAAAAGAAAATGTTGAAAAAAAAGCAGCACACAGTTGGAATTTTAAAACAAAAACTAGATAGCACAATAATTGTAAGACAAAAGCCTACTCTAGCTTAGAAAAGAGCTAATTTTTTACTGCATATTTGTCATGGTACACTTAAATTATAGTTTTAATAAAATACATCTTTAGATCAAAGCTGAAAGAAGACATCAGTAGTAGATCAGTGTATTCCATTTTTTTTTTCTGGATGATGGATGGTTTATGTTTTTTATATTTCCACAGACCATTTCATTCAGTATCATTTTACTCATTTTACTCCTCCAGTACATATAAACACGAGTGCTGGTAGACAAAAACGTATCCTTGAATCCAACCACATTTTGGAATAACCATCAGCTTAGTAAATCCATGCAGTTTTATTTTAAACTTTTAGTTCAATAAAATGGCTTTGCTGATGCGGTTTTCTTCTTTAGGTGGTGATATGGCAAGTGACATTTTTATTTCTCAGGCAAAGAAGAAAGTGAAACCTATACAATGAAATCTTATAGGAAACATTAAGTCTGCTAAAGTGAACGCTTGTGTTCACCTGACCTCTTTTAGGTGTTGGTATTAGGAAGAAAGCCTGTTAGATTAGTTACTCATGGACTTAATTTATAATTGGCGGAACTCAGTTGCATTTCCCACCATTGTAAACATCCACATAATGCCATGAAAAAGGTTCATGTATATTGCATTTTTTTCCAGTTATTGTCTAGGCAAGTTTCCTCTTGTTTGAGGTTTCTAGAGGTAATGCAGCTCAGACACTCCTGGGTGCCCTCTCAAATTCATGGGTCCTCCTGTTTCTACCTTTCTTGTTTTCCTGTAAATGCTTCCATTTGTTACTGTTCCCTTGGGTGTGTCCTGGTCTTTGCCGACGTTGTTTTCGGTCCCTTTTCCAAACTTGTTCACAGAACTCATCCATTGTGTTCAAGTTGGGGTGGTTGATGAGCTGCATGAAGTCTCTGTACCAGACCTTCTGGCTAGGGGTCATGCTGTTGGATATTTCTTTGGTCTTCGAGCCATCTCCATCATCATCTTTATGAAGAAGTTCTTCCAAATGCTCTGTGTCAATGACTTCCAGGGTCACTTTAAGAAGCGTTTGCATGAATCCGTGCTCCACAGCATGACAGAGGTAATTACCTGAATCCTTGCGCTGGAGACTGCGCAGTAGGAGGCCTTGTTCTGTCCTGATGATATGATCATCCACTCTGATCTAGCAGAAGAAAATAAGGTAGTAAAAATATACATATTTAAAAAATAGATAAGTTCTGAACTCCATCTCAGAAAAATTTAGATTATACGTGGAGGCACATTTTAACAGTTAATAAGATGTTTAGTTTAAGAGAAATGATACTATTTTCTACCAGGGAAACAAGTTATAATCCCAGTTAATGGTTTTTAAGATGCATTGCAAAATATCAGTTGTCTAATATTTTAATAGACTGTCTCATTACAATAATTTTAAAATCTTCAGGGTAATGGGAAGAAAGGAAAAATACTTTATTTTATAATTTTGAAAGAAGATATATAAATAAAGGCAAAAGGTAACATGAAATATTGGAATTGGAAATACAGAACCATGATATTAGGAAACAATGCATCATAAGAATGAACTTAGAAATGCAACAGTAGAAATGTAATAAGATTTGAAAAAAGAAAATGAAAATATCATCAAACAAAATCATGGATTACATGCTTCATAGATATTTATTCAATTTTGTAGATTTATATAACACATATATGAAGATATGCTCTAGAATATAACTAATCTCAGTTCTTTTGAATATACTTTACAACAGAGATCTCAGAAAGCCTTAGCTGATAATATATAAAATCAACCTTGACACTTGTATAATGTGGTAAGACATATAAAGACTGTTTCAAATGTCAAAATAGATCATGGGAAAATTTTAACCTTTATATTCAGATTTTGTTGATAAAATGGTCTGCATATAATAATACAGTTTTTAAATCACCTACATAGTCTGTGATTATATAGGTGCTTATGTAAGTGATCTACATTTAACGATCTTAAAAAGTTTTAAAGGCTCCGATACTTGCTGAGATTTCTGTGTACATTTTTAAAAAATTTTACAGAAGAATAGATTCATTGAGAATGAAAATCTGTCTGATGCTACAAGCACGAAGTTCATATCAGAGTCACACAGAGACTTCAGCTCCTTCATCAAAAATCTTTGACTTCCTTCCCCAAACCTCCCCTCCCTATTTGAAGAATAAATTAATGGAGAAAGAAAAACACATTTGGATAGCAGAATTAATTGTACAGAAGTTAAAATTAGTAGAAGAATTTGATTAGCTTTTCTTTTGTACACAAGTGTAGATAACATAATTCTTTGTAGATAACTACAGGGGAAAAAAAACAAACAAAAAACAACTCTAAAATACGTTCCTGAGTGGCTGCTGGAACAAATCTCTTACCAGTTCACTTTTGTGTCTCCAAATTCTAGTAGTTCAAAGCCTGTCATGTAAGCAACCTTCAATGAATACTTGTTTAATGAATGAACTATTGATGGGTTTAGAAAAAGATAAAGATTTATGTATGGTACTTTCTTCCCCCTTAAGTCAACCATGCTGGAATCACTTATTAGTATGTTAGAAATGATCCCGTCAATTTCACTCTGATACCTCCTCTTTTCGCTCTTCATTTCGCCTCTGGAATTGCCAGTAGACCAGGGCTCGCTGTGACTTTGGGCTGCATTCCAGGAACGTGCTGCTGTTTTCTACTCCATAGATGATTCTTTCTTCAAGGCTGTGGCCATGGTGATTATCTGGCCAGTGATGAGGAAATGAAATGAGAAAATGTTAGGGGAGCAGACTCAACTTTCCCAAGTATTTATTTGGAAATTCGGGAGATAAATTTGTTGCCAAGTTAGATGTCTTTTCCAAATTGATTGAGGATGGCAGAAAAGTCAAGGATGTAAAGTTTCAGAGACCAAATGCTAACCTAAATAGATTAATTATTTTGGTATGGGTTATATAAAGCACATGCAGAGATTTGTCTACCAGAAAATAGCATTATATTAACAAAATCAGTCATGTGTGCAAGAGAATTATACATCTTTATAGGCCATGATAATACTCTCCCCGAAACTATTTTTACTGTAAAATGCCATGTTCTGACTAAGGGGGTCAGTTCATATTGTACTATACTCTAGCAGGAAATTTATTTTACTGAACTTTCAGAAACAAAAATGTATTTCTGAGAAGTTATTTTGCCTCTTTGTGTTTGTTTTTATCTTCAAAATTAAATTCATCAAGCAACAATATTTATTCAATTATTTTACAGAAGGTAGAGTTCAGGAAGTTTATACTCCCCAAATAATCCACAGGTTTGTTTTGCAGATCAATGGGTGTGAAATGTTTGGGATGGCTCAGAAGAAGACTCTGCAATGTGGTTTCAATTGTTCTTATTTTCAAATGACACATCTTTTATTATTTTCAAGAATTAAGCTACAGAATATAGCAAGAGTATATAATAAAATGCAGCAATAAGAAAATCTGTTTCCTGATTAAGTTTCTATTATTTTACCCTTCTTGTAACCTCCATCAGTGTGGTAAATGAAACACAGTTAAGATCAAAAGCACGACACAGGGAGTCTAGGTAAAACTCATTTAGAGAAAAACTCCTTATTAGTTTGTATAATCCTGTTTCCATTATGACATCCTGTACAATCTGGAACTCATTAAATTAATTTAGAAAATAATAAATATATTTTCACATGCATACAGGGCTGACAGTGCAGACAGATGAAATTTTCTTCTTTGTACTTCAAAATTCAGCTAGACTTTTAATTTAAAAAACGTTTCTTCCCTTTTTTTTGGCATTGCTCTGACAGTTTTACTCTTGTTATAATCGAGTGAATACTTTTTTCTGTCATAGACAATCTGATTTGTGCTTACTAGGGTTAAACCTTTCTGAAATTCAGCTTCTATACAGTTCCCATACCCAGCTCCAGTCCCTCATCTCTTATTCTCACCCAGCCCGTGACTGACTTTCTGCCTGCTTTTGTTATCTCCAGAGATGTCAACCTCAGTGGCTTAGGTGTTGCCATAGGTGTTGCCTCTGTTGCCATAGGTGTTGAAACTAAACTCTTCTGATATTGAGAAGTATCTATTCTTTCACATAAAAGATAAGGCCCACTGAAATAGGGAAAAAAGACCATAAGAAGTGCCTGAGGTGTAAACAAACAAAAATTAACTGATTCCAAGCCACATTTTTTTTTATATTAGAAATTTATATCTTTGTGTCTCGATGTCTACATTAAATGGGGTAATGTTCTTTTTTCTCTGAAATTATTAATGTATCTTTGCATTGAATAGATACCTTACATGCTGTATACTATACTAGTTGGAAACACATCTGCTTTCCTGGCTAGAGATGAATTCAATCTCTGTGCCCCAAAGAGGCTGGGAAATCTGTGATTCAGGAGCTACCAGAAGTAACTAGCAAGTTTGCTACAGCGTAAGTACAGTTTACACTGAATTTGTATTTTCTGACAATTGCTGTGAAGTTTAATCTGTCATAATTTAGAAATTCTTTTACTCGGAGTATTACTTAAGCCTTAAAAAATAAAATCCAAAATAAGCAACAAGAATGAAACTTGAGGACATGCTAAAAGTGAAACAAGTCAGTCCAGAAGAATAACTATGGTATGAACCTGCTTATTTGAGGTCTCTATAATAATCAAACTTTTAGAATCAGAACATAGAATGGTGACTGCCAGGGGCTAGAGGAGAGAGAAGTGGAGAATTGTAAATCAACAGAATAATGTTTCAGTTATGCAGAGATCTGCTGTAAAACATTGAAACTACTGTAAATACTGTAAATACTGTATTGTGCACTTATAAATTGTTAAGAGGGTGGATCTCATGTAAGTGTTGTTACCCCCTCCAATTAAATAAAATGAGTTATAAAATTTTTAACTAAAAATAGAAATCCTTTCACTTTTAGGGAGAGACTATTCATTCAATCCTTATATACTAATGAATGATATGATAAAAGAGAGTATAACAGAAAATTATCCACTACATTTATAAATAAAAAAACATAGTGATCCTCAGTAATTTCTGGCTCAGCACCAGTCTAGGCCTACTTTTCTCAGGCAGATATTTATGATAATAACTGATCTGTCTCAGTGACTATGAAAATCAAGGTATAAGCTATTGCTTTTATTTTTTTATTTTTATTTTTTAAAGATTTATTTATTTATGCATACAAGAGCTGGAGTACAGGCCAGAGATGGGGGGAACAGTGAGAGGATTCACCAGAGACAGAGAGGGGAGCAGAACAGGCAGGCTGACTGAAACACACTGCTGAGGGGAGCAGTGGGCGAGACAGGAAAGGTCTGCCTTGCCATGTGGGTTTCTCTCTGGTTGGCCGGGGATCGAACTCCTGCTGCAGAGGCTGTGGACTGCTTCATAATGTGGTGCTTAACCCTTTGAGTCACCAGGGAGTCCCTAAGCTATTGCTTTAAAATATTGAACTCTTAAAATCCTTTAAGAGTTTGTAAGCCAATATGCAGAAGTACTATTGTCTTCTTTGTTTTGAGATTTTATGTTATGCTTTGATAGGTCCTGCTATCATTTTATAACTGCAGGTACTAAATTTTCACTCAAATATAGTTGTTTCTATTACCAGCAAGACTGGAGCTTTCATTATAAGTGGCCTCAGCCAAGGACCTATATATTTGTTCATTCGGATAAATAATGTGTAAACACATTTTCCTGTTAATTTCCCCATAGCTGACGTCTTATAAACAGATACCAATACAAATTTCAGTAATAATAATTAGAAGGCACTAACATATCTATTTATTTTGCTGACCTTCCTACCACAACTGTTTGAGTAAATTTTGCCCAATAAAGAAGGCAGTAGAGATTTCATTAGCAGTCCCACAGCAATGTGTTTGTCTCTCATTTTCATCCCCTTTCTCTTCTTCCCATCCTAATCTCTGAGTCTTTCTCCCTCTTGCTGACTGCTTTTGAAACAAAACAAACAGGAACAATATTTCTCTTCTTGTCTTTTGGCCCTAGTGTCTCAATTGTTTTCTTCAGATGTCAAACATATGGTCATATTGACTATTTAACCAATCCCTGCATTGACATAGCAACAGAGTAAAGCTATACTTACATATTATTGAGCTCATATTACCCAATATAAATCAAAGGTTTAACTGTGAGAACATTGTGATTAAAGATTTTCTGAAGACTATGTAATTTTGCATTCCGAATAACTATAATTTAAAGCTTCCCTCTGGATTAAACTAATTGATCTGAGAGCACTTTTCATGAAATCTGTTGTGTTAATCCCATGAGATTAACATAGTGAATTGTGTTTTGTGGGGTCCCTCTGACCTGTGTTGAAGGAGCTGACAAGCAATGCTCTACGGATTTGCTCAATGTTTTTATGTCACAATATTATTTAGTACGATTTTCACTGCATTATACTGTTTTTTTTTTTTTATGGCCAAATATTGGGAGAGGTTTCTTGCTTGTCTTAGCTTTTAGGGATTATTTAGATTCACTTGAACAATTGATTTTTCTTTTGTCTCATCAGTCTATCATATCATCTCCTGTAAATTGGTTAACAAGATTGGACAAATTTATGTCTTACTGTTATAATTTTGTAAAAATTTTCTTCTTCCCTGCCTTGGTTTGTTCCCAGTCAGAACTCTGCTTTGCCTACATGATATCATTCCTAGATTACACTTGTAAAATGAATAAAATCTGCTCCATTACATTGTATTTAAAAGCTGGAATCTCGTGTAACTTTGGCACCCTCAAGATAGAACTATGATAATTACATAAAATAAATGATTACAACTTAATCAATTAAAAAGCTCATAGGGTTTACATCTGTGATTATAACAGAAAGTTACTCATTAAATCTAAATTTAAGATTTTTATAATGTTACAAAAATTGATCTGAGATATGGTGGAAAAAGAAAATGACTAATCATGTATACACCAAAATAAAGACTTCCAAAAACGGGATCATAAGAAGAGAAAGAGATTTGAGAAACATCTGTAAAGGACGTTCATCAAATGAAAAATCTTGTAGATTTGCAGGAAGAAAGAAATCTAGTTTTAACACATTCTAGAATACACTTTGTCCTTAAAAAGCAACTGTTTTGAATACAAGCATTTGTCATGAAAACTACCAGTAAGAAAGAAAGGTATAGCTGTAAAATCTGCGTAATAGTCTCATTGATTGGACTATCTGAATAGTTAAAGCAAAATAACTGAGGACCACAAACATAAAAAAATGTTTTATTTAATTTTTAAAAATACTATGTTTGATTTTATTTTCATTCCTGTTTAAATACAAACCTGGGAGGAAAATAGTGTACATTTTGTTCTTAATCTTGCTCCAAATAAAATATATTGCATATCAAATCTAATGATTTGTCTTTCTTAGTAAAACTTAGTTATATTACATTTGTCATTATATCGGCTTCTGTTTGAAATGACTGATACTGTGACTAGAGCTTTACAGTTTTTCTCAAATTTATAAAAATGTGTTGGAATTCTATTTGACTTGTTTATCAAACAAAATAATATCAGTAATGAGAACACACAGCAATTTTTCCTTCTTGACTTCAATCCCCATAATGGGGGTTTATGGGGGATTAGCTGAATTAATATACTCGCTTCCATTCAGTACATCCTTTTTTTGTACCCCTGTATTTTGCTCATATTTGCTTCATTCTGCAAATTGTATGAATGAATACCACCCACTCTCCAAGACTTATAGTGTTCATGTTATTGA